GATGATGATGATGATGATGATGATGATGATGATGATGATGATATGTCTCTGATGTGTCCCTGACATGTGTATGTCTCTGATATTTCTCCTTGTCTCTGATATGTCACTGACATGTCTAAAGGTTCCAGTATGCTATTTACCATTATTTTACCAGGCAAGTCCCATTGAGATCTCAGATCTCATTGTCAAGGGAGGCCTGGGCCTGAAGGCAACCTTTTGTACATGTTTTGTGTGGGGAGACCAGAGTACCCGGAGAAAACCCATGCAAGCATGAGGAGAACATGCAAACTCCGCACAGAAAGACCCCAGGTCCGAAATGGGGRTCGAACCCAGGACCTTCTTGCTGTGGGGCATCAGCGCTAACCACTGAGCCGTCGTGCTGCCATGCTGCTGCCGAACTGCCAAGATCGTGTCAAACTGTCGCAGTTTCATGACGAAAATTGTGTCACTTCTGTTCGCATTGCCGACATTTCAGCACTTCTTGTCGCAACCCACGGGTGGAACTTTTCACCCCCCTCCACRTAAGAACACATACGAACTATATGGTGTGATTGGTCAGAAGTTCCTGAGAGGGTTTGTCTGTGCTGAAAGCACTCAGACGCTGCATTTGCTTCAACCACTCGCTTCAAAAACAGAAAGAAAAAAAAGGTGATCRCCTCCAGAGATGACTGTTGTACCAGGAGGCAGTAATTTATAAAGATAGTCAAATGCCCGAAAGCTAAAAAAAGAGGATAAAACAGATGGAATCTGACTGATAAAAACTTTGGAACTTAATCCTGGACCAGTTTGTGGATAAACAACGTCGAGTGAWGAGTCTCAGACTTTTTTGTTTTCAGCGTTGGACTCCCCTGAGAAGAAATCCCATGCAGTGATGTATGCTGCAGCGGGAGGGGTTTCCCAGAAGCTCGGCGTGCTGTGTCTAAGGAGCTACGAAAGGTCTGTGTGAAAACAAACGCCAAACAACCACGTGATGGCGCGCCGACCGGTCGGCTGCCGAGCGACCATTCTGCCTGCTTGACATATCTATGTCTCTGATATGTATCTTTGTATCTGATATGACTCTGACATGTCTGTCTCTGATATGTCTCTGACATGTCTATGTCTCTGGTATGTCTCTGTCTCTATGCTTCTGACATGTCAATGTCTCTGATATGTATCTAACATGTCTCTGACATGTCTCTATGTCTCTGAAATGTCTATGTCTCTATTATGTCTCTGACATGTCTCTATGTCTCTGACATGTCTATGTCTCTGGTATGTCTCTGTCTCTATGCTTCTGACATGTCAATGTCTCTGATATGTATCTAACATGTCTCTGACATGTCTCTATGTCTCTGAAATGTCTATGTCTCTATTATGTCTCTGACATGTCTCTATGTCTCTGACATGTCTATGTCTCTGTCTCTATGCTTCTGACATGTCAATGTCTCTGATATGTATCTAACATGTCTCTGACATGTCTCTATGTCTCTGA